TTATCTATCATCATTATTTATCTTTTTACTTATAAACAAAATGGGGTCCCAGTCAATATGTAGTTGACATTGGCTTAGAATTTGCTATGTAGCCCAGACTTGCCCCAAACTCAGTCTTCCTGCCTTAGCTTGCTGTGTGCAATAATGCTGGATGTGCATTACTATATTAGGCTATAAGTAAAATCTCAGGAGGCAAAATATCTAAGTTTTGTTTTCTTCATTCCAAACAAAATTCTGTCATCTACATTGTTACCGTACTATTTTTCTTCCATCCACCCATCATCCATTCAGCCTCCCATCGTCTATCCATTCTTCCATCATCCATCCATCCTTCATCCCTTCGTTTATTAGTTCTGCAAGCCTTTACAAAGTACCTTCTTCAGGCACTTGCCTTTGCCTCAGCTTTTGCTCCTGTCTCAGCTGTCTGTTCCCACCATACCAGTCCCAAATCTATTCTGTCTTGCAGACAGTTTAGAAGTGTTTCCTTTTATCAACTCCAACACTGCTCACCCTATGAGCTCCATTCTGATGCAGATAGAACAAGATGTTCAGAAGAAAATCGCTATTCAGACTGATCTAATAATGTCGAAGAAGTTCACTAACATAACCTCATTTGACTCCAAAAATAGATCTCTGAAAGGTCATTACTATCAACAACACTAGTCATTCTTTTCACTCTGGTTCTACAGAAGAAAAGAGTCAGCAGATCACCTTAGCTCTTGGCAGCTTCCATCACTCCTTCTTCAGAACATCACATTCTAGTTCCACTGCAGTAACTTCATGGAGGTACACACCCACAGTTTCAGAAGCAGGGTAGTGACTGTGGACCTGGAGGCTGACCTGCTGCTCTTCATGCTGGTCTAATTCTAATGAAACATGACTTTGCTCAAGCAGGCAGCATAAACACCTGCAGTTGTTTTCTGTGCTATTTTAAGTTCTTATTTATAGTTGATAGAACCGTCTAGAAACATCTGTTTTTAAAATACATTTATTTCATGTGCCTCTGGCCATCTCAGAACTTCAAATGCACTTCAGACTTATTTCAAATGCACGTTAGCAGAGCACTCCAGCCCTCAAAGCTCAGCAAGCCTGAACAGAACAAGCCGTGAATGACAGCAGGATAATGTGACAGAGTAGCCTCCTAAAACTCCTATAGTTCTCCCTTCAATGCCCACTGTCCCTATAAAGAAAGTGGGCACAACAAACACTGGTCATGACCTTGAATATGCTAATATATTGCGTGTGGTAGAGTGATTCTTTTAAAAAAGAATCCTTTGGTCAATTGTTCAGCCAATTAAGAATACTTATACAGGGTGAACAGTCTGCTCCACAACTATTTCATTAGTTTGTGGTCTTGCTTTGGTTTTCTTCCATTGGACATGGGCTGGCTCTATTACCAAATAAGGTGAGCATCAGTCACTCATGCTCAGAAAGAGCACAATTAAGGAAGTGTCCAAAAAATGATAACTCTTTATAGCTTAAGTCATATTTTGAAGGGCTCCAAGCACCTTGTTACAATTTTATCTTTCTATGGAAAATATGGCAATCACGTAGCAGGAGAGTGAATAGGACTAGGGTGATTGGTTTCATAAAGGACAATAAAACCCTTTGTAAATAAACTGAATAGAAACCTCCACCTAGAGCTACCAACTTCACCACAGTTCCCTGTTCCTTCTTCTCAGTCTCTAGGTTTCTGATTTGTTTTCCCACACCTGAATTCTGTCCTCAGTTAAATCTAATCAGACCCCTTTCTTTACTCTCAACAACTTTCACTCAACTGATTGCAGTTCTCTGTAAGTGCTCTGAGATTTTCGGGTGAATGTCATACATATAGAAAAGTCTTGAAGTCTTATTACATATCTTATTGTTAGTTAAAGATGAAAATACGATTCACTGGCTGTGAGTTTATGACACTTTTTGTTTTCAATGGAGATTTTCTATTTTTCTAATTTCATTCATTATGACCAAAATAAAGTTTTTATAAATAATGGGTGGTTATATTAATTATTGGATTCCCTAATAGGAATGGAAGAAAGACTTATTGAATTGGATTTGAATATTACCTGGATATGGTAGCACAATGCTTATGATCCCAAACCTTGGGTAGTTGGTTTTTATCAACTTGAGACTAGAATCATCTGGGATGAAGGAACCTCACTTGAGGAATATCTTCCAACAGACTGGCCTGTAGGCATGTCTGTGAGGCATTTTCCTGATTGCTGATTGATGGAGGAGGACCTAGCCCACTGGGGATGATACCATTCCTACACAGGTGGACCTGGATGGTATAAGAAAGGTATCTGAGCAAGCCAGGGGGAGCATACCAGTAAGCAGCATTCTTATGTGGCTTTGGCTTTAGCTCCTGCCTCCTATTTCTTGTTTTGAGTTCCTGTCTTGGCTTCTCTGGATGATGGAATATTACCTGTAAGCCAAATAAATAATTTTCTTCCACAAGTTGTTTTTGGTTAGTGTTTTGTTATAGCATCAGAAAAGTAACTAAATCTCTCTCTCTCCCCCCCTCCCTCTCTCTCTCCCCCCCTCTCTCTCTCCCTCTCTCTCTCTCTCTCCCTCTCTCCCCACACACATATGCATGCATATGATAGTGGGTGTGTTGATGTGTGCTCCAGGTTCTGGGAATTGAACTGAATGTCTTATATGTGCCAGACAAGTGCTTTACCACTAAGCAACACCCTCAACTCTAAAGAAATAATACTGAGATGTTTTAGATTCTGTTGTCTTCAGAGCCTCTGTAGTCAACCCAGCCTGAGTTCATGTGGTGGAGGCTGTGCATTGACCCAATGCACCACTAATTCTACATATATTTGAGCTCAATTTCATGAAGGCATCTTGCTTCTGTGCCTTCTGAAGGCACACATTCTCCTGGGTATTTCTTCCTTCTTCTAAGATGGGCAACTAGTGTCTAGGCCTACTATTTTAATAGAAATTATATATCAAAATATGAGTTTTATTGTTGGTAAGAGCTGTGAGTTGAATGTTTGGCTTACTCTAAAATGAATTCAGGTAAAGCATAATAGAATATTTATTTTCCTTAGATTAGCTTCTTTATATTTCCAATTCAATAAATTGTAGCAAGTTAGATAAAAGTGCAGGGAGATTAGATTTGTTATTTATTCACATTGAAGGAAAAGATTTGCTGCTTTACATGTAGAATACATAGACTTCTTATTTTAAAAAATGTTATTCATCAACGTCAGTAAACATTAATTGCTCCTAGTGAGCACAGTCATATTGCCTTCTGGGACAACTCTGACTGTAAAGAGTTGGGGATTGAACAAAAAAATGGATGTATCACACATCTTCTTATTGAGGGCGTTACTTAAGGCATTGTAGGAGAAAGAAGCCCTATATTGTCTTATGAAGTTAAAAATGTTAAAAAAAAAAAGCAGATTGCACAAAAACTACCTAAGCTATTGTTCAGTTGGTGGAAATTTCTGTGTTACTTTAAAAACTCCCAAGACATAAAGTAAGGAAATGAGGTCAACTTTTGTGTGAAGTGGTTTCATCACTTTGGTGAGATTCTTCATAAAATTTGAAACGCTAGTCTTTGATTTACTATTAGATTACATCAAACATCAGTACACATTACCTTTTTTGTTAGTCTTATGTTGGGGTATGAGAACTTTGGGTTTAATTCATGGAAAAATGTATAAAGAAATTCAGTATCTCTGGATCTTAATTTTCCTTCTTGTTCCCTTCCTGTTCCCTCCCTCCCTCCCTCCTTTCCTTTTCTTCTTCCTTTCATGGTAGGTATTGAACCTAGGGCTTCCCACATGCTAGATAATTGCTCTAGCACTGAGCTATATCACCAGCCCTCCCCCTCCCCTTTATTTTGGGTTCTCTAGGTAGACTTGATCTTGCTGTACTGTAGCCCAGGCAGCCCTTGAACATGAGACCCTTCCTGGCTTAAGCTCCAGAGTAGCTGGGATTACAGTCCTGTGCCGCCAGGTCCAGGCTGGGTCTTAAATTTCTAGTATGTGAACACTTACTGAAAACCTGCATAGCTCATATAGCTCATAAACATTTCTCTGTAATTTGGAAAATCAGTTGTTTGAATCTATCTTATAAATTTAGGAAAGAAATAAATATTCCAATATAAAAAGACACACCACTCACTGAAGATCACTACCACTATTGCAATGATAGTGATGAGAGGGTTTCATGAAAATTTTCTTTTCAGTTCCACGTCAAATTATTTATGTATATTATTTGTTTTATTCCTTATCAAGAAATGTAGGGTCCAAGAGTGATAGTGCATGCCTGTAATCCTAGCGTTTGGAAGGCTGAGGCAGGAGGATTGTTGAGTTCCAGGACAGCCTGGCTTTCATAGAAAGACCTTGTCTCAACAACACAGAAAATAATGAAACAAAACTATAAAAATACTATTGGGAGTAGGTAATACTTCTGTGTTACAAGTAGGAGAATAAAGGTCTAGAGAATGTCAAGAGTTGTTTGAACCTCCCACAGTAAGCTGCAGAACCTAACTTTTCCATCTGACTCCAAAGTCTTGTTTAACAACATGCAGAATCTGATGACCCTGAAAACAAAGGTTTCACGGTGTGTGGAAACATTTAAAAATCCAGCAAACTTGATGTCATCCATCTCAAGATCCATACAATTAGACACTAGACAGAGAGTGGCTAGAACACATGGCCCTTTTACCAAAAGCAGAGATTTCTACAAAGACTAAGAAGTTTCTCTCCATAAAAATATGGTGCTCTGGATATAATCAGTGGTGGAACACTTTCTTAACATGAGCAAGGCACCGGTTTCAGTCTCCAGAAACACACACACACACACACACACACACACACACACACACACGAGTATAGAAAACAGAAGAAAAGCGAAGATACAAGAATAATTAAGTAATTGTGTGTCTTGATTCTAAAGGAGAATATCCAAATGACCCCCCAATATTTTACAACTGTCGCCAGCATGAGCTGTCCATAATCATGTCTTTTTCTTTCCTGTCTCCGTAGATCTCAGTCTGTGGTAGAAGCTGGGACGCTGAAACATGAGGATAAGGGAGAGAATGAGAACACTCAGCCACTTCTGGCTCTGGATTGAGCCTGCGTTGTGTGATGTTCCCGTGCACAGGTCTTCAGGGGACCAGCCACCCAGGAAGCACCTGTGCAACTGACCCACAGACACGTGCTCTGCTTGACACAAGGTCCTCCACTAAGCCCCAGTCAAGTCTGTCAGCAGCCATTGGTCTGAGCAGCCCAAGTCGGACAAAGATTTGAGAGACACTTTTAAAATTTAATTTAATTAATTTTTTAGTGAGGGATTGGAGGATGAAGCAAGGCATTTATGTAAAAAAGATTCTCCCTCCCCACATATTTATGGTAGCAAATGTACTTAAAAAGGGGTGGGGGACTAAATTTGCTGCACACACTACATTGCTCTGAGGGATCCTCTCCAGGGTTTTGCAAATGAAGATGAAGTGCATTTCCAAATAAATACACCAGAGTCAAATTGTGCACACATATCGTCAAGTTTAATGTAGTGCAGCTCTGGAAGATAATAGTAGCTCCAATGATTTCCATTCTTATTGAATTATTTTCTGACCTCATCACCAGCAACCAGCATCTAAGTGTTCAGCCTAAGAGCACGTTCTCATTGGCTATTTGTAAAGTTCTCTTATTTAAATATCCTGAAAAAAAAAAAAAAGATTTTTGACATCACATTGTTTGTAAGGCCACCAGCTGACTTCATGAACTGATTTTAAAAGAAGACACAGGCAGTTTGAAAATGAGTTCCTGCAGACATCCTGAGGGTCCATCAGTCTAGCAGGGAGGAGGTGGCTCATTGAAAACACATTACTGAGCCCACCAACTTGATTCTTGGGTCACTATGGCAAACCATTTAGTCCCTCATCTTCCTTTTAAAGTTACGGAGAAAGGGCCCAGCCACTGCTGAGAGGGTAGACCATCAATGGTAAAGAAAGACCCTTAAGGATGGCTCGGTATGTAAGTATTGAGCTTACAGAAGACCAAGGATGCAAGACGAAACGCCAAAGACCACTCTACTTCCTTATCTACTCTCCGTAGAAACGGACTCCCCACCCAAAGGAAATCAGACAGAAAACAGACATCAAAGATTATGCTATCTTTATCTGTGCCAGATTTCCCAAGACCAGCTGAATATGTTAGATATCACTCATTTCTCCAGCTATCTGTAGGACATGGGTACTTGTTAATATGACCAGTGAATCCTTAACGTCAAACAAAAACTTAATTGCTAAAGGGCAACAAACTACATTTTCCATTTTAAGTATTTGGGAAGGTTGATTTGTTAGATGAACGATCTAAAGGAAACAGGTAGGTAATTGATTCAATCTGTAACTGGCCGTAATCACCCCAGCTGATATTGCTAATCATGGTCACTTCCCTTTCTTCTCTGTCCTCCTCCTCC